GCTTTTATTAGCATTAGCAACTGATCATTGTAAAAAATTGATACAGTAGATGGACTGGAATTTCCTTGAACGTAGCTTTGTTGTAAAGCATCTTCTCTGTTTTGACATCGGACTGATGAGACAAACAGGAAAGCAATCAGTGCTTTGGCTCTAAGAGGTCCCTATTGGCATGTTGATAGTGTCTTCAAGGACTCCAGTAAAAGCAAAAGTACTTGTGCGTGTGTGTTTCTCTTTGCCAACATAAGGCATCAGGCATCGTTTTGAGACGAGACATTCCTGATCCCAAAGTGCCGCGGGATACGATGGAGGGGAAAAACAAATAGCGCTCGACACAAATGAACCTCTTGCAGCCAAAGGTCTATAGCGCTATTCCACCGTATAAGCCTGGGTACCACTTTCCAAAAGCTTTGTGCGGGGGCCGTGGAAACTACTCCCAGAATGTGTTCTCCCCAGATAACACTCTAATGAGTTCACCACCGTGGACTGCCACACGTACATATTTCAAATGTCACGCTAAAGAACTTTACCTTTTTGCTTTGATTTTGTAGTTGAGGAGTCAAATCCAGAGGTTAGATCTGGTACTGTATGTATACAGATCTTGTCCAGGAACAGTTTGACGTTTGATACAATTGAGTATTCTAAGATCAGCCTTGGAGCACACTTTACTACTGTACCATAATCAGTTTCACAGATGCCTGTTAACAGTTGTGTGGAGGGAGCATTTGAAGGACACACGTCTGCCTGGATATGTCCCTTTCCTCCTTTCCACGTGCTGTCCTTACGACATTGGCCTCTGGTCTCCTGGTTCCTCTCCAGATTATTTTCCTCTCCTCTCCTGATTCCTCTTATCTTTAATCTTGATTATTTTCCTCCTCGTTTCCTCTCCTGTTTCCCTTCATCTTCTCTCCTCTCCTTATTGCTCTCAACTCCTTTTTTGATTCCTCCAATGATTCCTTTCCTTTCCTGAATCCTCTTATCTTCTCTCGTCTCCTTACTGCTCTCCACTCCTTTTTTTGGTTCCTCTAATGATTCCTTTCCTTTCCTAATTCCTCTCCTCCTCTCTCCTCTCCTCATTCCTCTCCTCTTCTCTACTTTCCCGATTAGTTTTGTGATTCCTCTCTGTCTCCCTCCTCACCTCATTCCTCTCCTGATTCCTATCCTCTTTTCACCTCTTCTCTCCTGATGCCTCCCTTTCTCTCTCCTCTTCTCTCCTCTCCTGATTCCTATCCTCTTTTCTCCTTTTCTCTCCTGATGCCTCTTCTCTCCTCTCCTACTGTAATTCCTATCCTCTTCTTGAAACCTTCTTGAAACCTCTTGAGGTATTTTACTCTTTATCATGGCTCAACTTCTGTCCTTTGCAATCTGGGTATATATTGTCTTGCATGCTTCCTTGTACTATAGCAAAACGATGATAAATCAAGCAGACCAGTCCTTCAGTCCACATCATTCCAAACGCCTTTGTATTTTGTCATTATAAGCAGCCACGCTCCTCTTTCTTTTATTCAGCATTGGGGTAATAATGGCTGACTGTGTGGAAAGCGCCCTGCACCTCCCTAGCTGCCTACCATGAGCTTTCCTCATCCTTTCTAACCCATCCAGTAATGGGCGCACATAGTGAGGGCGCGAGAGCCGCTAATGCTTCCCACATTTGGTGCCCACTAAGTGTTACAGCGTTAAACCACAGCGTAGGGCATGGTGCCACAAGAATAATACTCACTTAATCTCCAGCTGCCATGCATGGTTAATTCCATAGATGTCGTCTCCATTAGTCCAAACTGAGAGCGAGAGGGCCCCCTCTGGGAGAGCCAGGATGGCACTGGAGCTGTCAGCACAGTCTCCTGTAGTTAGACTTCGGCCTCAGACGGCGACCCACACGGCATCGGTGCCTCGCAACAGGTGGTTTCACTATGAGCCTTTTTCTTTTCCACGTTTTCACTCTCCCTCTCCACATAAAATGAAGTCTGATCGGAGGAAAAATGTCATTTTTTATTCTATTCTCTGTTGTCATCTCACTGATCGCCTACGAGTAATGTCTGGAAGACCTGATGCTGGTATTCTCAGGCTTCTCTTCTTCCTTTCAGACAGACATTGGCAAATGAGCCTTTTCGAACCATCTGTTATTTGTGTATGTACATTTGTCTTAATGCACTGTACTGTTTTCTTTTTACAGTGTCGGCTATTTCTTCAACAGGTGCGGGTTTGTAGCAATGCACAGGATGTTAGGGTCCGAGTGGGCAGTTTGCATTCACAGATTGCTAAGGCCTCCGGCGCTTTCTTTACGCAGATGCTGTATTTCCTACGTGGCTGTTAGATATTATCACACTGGAAAATGGGCTTGAAGGACAGCTGGCGACTTTCAAGCGATTGTGTGTGTACGCCTGTGTGTGTGTGTAGTCACAGCTTGTGTTTACACTACATTAAATATGCTTGTCTTTTTTTCCGTCATTGTTTTTTCATTTTAATGTTCTGCTGAAAGGATTTTGAATCAAAATGTCTCTGTCTGTTAGAGAGAAGAGAGTGAGAAGATGGTGTATTTGTGTGCTTACATGCAAGTTTTCAATTGCAGTTTTGGTAATCATCCAGTCGCAAGGAAACTTTAACTCCATACCACTAACCACACTATTTTTTTGCAAGAAAAACACACCAGGACACTGCCACTAGGCAGCTCTCATTACAGAACAAATTAAAAACAGATACGTTGTCAACAGATTTGACCTGTCAAATGATTATTATTATTATTATTATTATTATTTTATGTCAGTGCCACTCACATCATACATTCCTTTCTACTCGCAAGAGTTATGCCAGGATCATCCTGTGACAAACATGTTGGTGTTCCAACTAACTTTAGGGCTTTTCAGGACAAACAGGATTTGAATCACTCCCTAACGCTGGGTTAAATGAATGTCCATCCCCTTTGTGGAATTGAGTCTCCGTTGGTGCTGAAGTTGAGATGGTTGTTGGAGGTTTTGGTGAAGGACTGGGTGCTGCTTGCGGTTAAATTACACTTTGATTTATCTTTCCTTAGGCAGCGCTAGAGTGGAACGCAGGAGAGTTCTCCACAATTATTTGGATGGAGCCGTCTAAACATTTTTAAGTGATCTTGAGGGGCACTACAATACTAAGAAACGACAATTTATAACTGTTATGCCTCGTAATGAAACCCTCTGCACCTGCCTGCAAAGTGGAAAGTAACTAAGATTGCCATTGGCCCTATCCAATAAGACGGTAGCTTGTCAAAGTACAGACACATAGAATTAACGACCATCATAGTATTACTTAAGCCTAATTAGCCAGTTGTGTTTATTGTGAAAAATGACTTGGGTTTGAACTTCCAGGAAATTGACTGCACACTTTCAATAGGATATCATTAACATTCAACTGTTAATGTTTATTGTAATGATGTCAACCCCTGTGGGTATCGGTTACAGTTTGATGTCTCTACAGGAGAAATGCAGATGAGCGGTGGATGTTTTCCACTGTGTGGCAGAGGCTAATACTCCTTGGGTGAGGGCGGGTGTAACGGGGGAGGGGGGGGTGCTGAATGAGTAGATTAACCACAGCAGAAATGGCACAGACATCGTAAGCCGCAGCTTGCCCACAGTGGAACAAAGTCTGCCGTAAATGTTCAGTGTAACACTATATCCAGGCGCGTGTGCACACTCATACGTGTACACAGGCTCGTGCAAAAACATTATTATTCTGCTCCAGTGACTTATAGTGTGTTTCATTTGTAACTCAGCATAGGTCTGTAGTTCCATCCCTTATTAAGGGACTGTTTGGAAAAGAACAAGCTGAGAAGAATGCAGACTTTCTTTTTCCTGCACAGCCCCACTGTGGTTTAAAAATGTTGTGGAAAGTATTAAGGGGGCGGATATCAGGAGCTGTTTCAACTCCTGATTCTTCTCCTAGTCTGTCATTTATCGTGCTAATCTTGCATCATATTCGTTAAAAACTGAAATAATAAAAGAGAAGGCTGCATGAATTCAAGCAGAAATAAGATATTAAACGTCCATAGTTCTGGAGATTTACATCCTATTAGGTTCGACCAACATCTGTCATAAATATTAAACCGTAGTCTTAAAATTAGGGGTAAATGTCTCCTTTTGATTGTGTTGTAGATGATCAGATCAAGGAGTGTGCGCTTTTGGACCAGTATGTTAAGAAGCCTTTGTGACAGCAGTCCAAGGACAGGACGCACACTGTAAACCAATCAGATACGACGGCTGATGTAAAGCGACCCGTATACACAGAGCAATCTTTGCTTTGCGGGCCAGCCAAGAACACTAAACGATACACACATACATGGACACACACATACCTCATTACATTCTAAAATTGCAGTGTGAATGAATTACAAATCATAGCCTGACAGTTATGTGAACAACCATCCACAGACTAGCAGTACATTCACATACTGTAGCAGTGAATTACATAAAAGGAACATCTAGTTTTTTCTTTTTTACACAATAAATCTGGCTTGAGAGAGCACATTTTTCCAGACAAATGTAACAAAAATAAGGATAAGTCATTCCTATCTTGATTAAAAAGGCAATATTGTGGAAAAAACAATAATTTTATATAGCTTTTCACAAATGTTTAAGACATAAACCTCCCCGAGACATGCAGAAAAGAAGAAAATTAAAATCTACTGCATGTCACCAGAAGAAAATGTGTTAGGCTTCGAGATCCAGGGAAACGGTTTGGCCCTGTTCTTCTTTCACCTACAGCAAAGATAGCGGTCATAAAACTGAGCTGCACAAAACAATATGAGGTATTGGACATGGAGCTGTGGAGGTGTGTGCCAAGACACTGAAACGACTATAAATCGAAATGCACAGCTGCGCCATTGTGTGTACATACATGTGTCTGAATTTAGAAACTCCTCATAGACACACACACACACGGACACAATGGTTTTTGTGTTGGCGAACATTTTGGATTAATGTGTCTCTTTCTGTCTCCTCTCCCTTCCTGTCTCTTTTCATCCTGACCTCCAGCTGGTTTCAGGAGAAGCTTCCGTCTGAGCAGGAGGGAAAAGAAGACCAACAAGACCATGTACGAATGTAAAAAAAGCGAAATGTACGACATGGCTGACGTGCCCACGTACGAGGAGGTCACCCAGTACCGCAGGCAGAGCGGGGCTAAGCACAGGCTGGTGATCCTAGTAGGTGAGTAAAAAAAGCTGGGAAAAAATGACAATATCAATGCTTACCTCACGCTTTGGCACCATAGATTTAATAATGTTCCTCACACACAAGCATGGTGACAAATACAAATCACAGAAATGACTGTGAGCTCCAGAGTGGCCCGGCCTTGTCCTTCCACGACCCCCAAACCAGAAATAAGCTTCCCAATGCGGGGCCTTACGCACAGTCATTCCTCCTTTAATTTAAAATGTTAGCACCACAAGGAATCGACAGAGCAGACCTCATATTAATCAGTCACATTTAGTTCTTTCATTTACAGCACTCACTTTCAATGTCCTTTCAATTTGTCGAGCCCGTGGAATTGTTAACACTTGCCTCGAGGAGACCTTCCAAAGAGCTTTATAACGTGCCATGGTCTTGAAATGAATTTAGCGGCTTCTCGTTCTGTATTGTGGTGAAAAGACGAGCTTTGCCAGTGAATGGCGGAACAATATGCTAAGCCAGGTGCAACAGTAAGACTTAAATCTTTCCCAGGACCAACTGTACCGTTAGTGAGCCTTTTCCACGTTTCCCTTTTTAGGTTGTGTTACTCCATCATGACAAAAATGACAAGAATGTCCCAGACTCGGATGGAACAAAACATTCCTTACATTTTGATTCCTTCCAATCTATTTCCATTCATCAAGGGAAGAAATGTACGGTTCAATTTTTTCGTTTTTCATTTCGCACAATCTGACAGCAGATTTGAAACATTTGTGAGGTTAATTTAAAAAATGAACACCACTGGCAACAAGGTCTTTCTCTTTTCTTTTTTATTTCTCACTCTCACGCATGCTCTCTGCAGAGTTGAGCTCGTAGCCTGATTGAACAGGCCTTGGTTCACTTAAAAAACGCCACGCAGAGCATGGACTTCATCAGGCGTGTTGCTAATTAGCTAGCCCATTTTCCTGCCTGCATGTCACAGCCTTACACAGAGGCTGAACCTCTCCCACCTGTCATGCTAATGTAAATATTTTCAATTAAAGTCCATAATTTTCGAGGACAACCTATGGACAATTTCACACGTAATGAAGCAAAGGACCAAGGAAAGATCTGCTTTATGTTTCTCTGCCTCTCTCCTTCTTCCTCTCCCCGGAGTCTCTTGATTTTTCTTATTCGAACAATATTTTCTCGCCAATGCTTTTCTGTGTAACTGCCCTTCCCTCCTTCTGTTCAGGGGTGAAACACTTTATTCCTCAATGTACAGGCATGTGTTTTCAACATTCTTCATTTACTTTATCTAAGCAATTCCCAACATCAAACCTATACTCTGGTCATTTTCAATTTTCACCCAGAGTCGACCATTAGCAGCACACTTGCAGTTTACCATGTATATACATATACCATTGATTTTATGTAATGTATTTTGAAACAATGTGTCCTTTATTACAGACAAAGGCAGAAATAAGCAGGCGTCTCATATATAACAGGCGACTGTGGACTTTCTCAGCTGAAATTACTGTTGTCAACGGCAGGCTAAGCAGCTTTTGCTAGCCAGCTAATTAAGCTAACAGTAGTTCCAAATTCAGGCCGACACACAGTCCAGCCAACTCATATTGAATTAACAAAACTGCTGAATGGGCCTTAACTAAGAATGTTATTGATACATACATGATTTGATAAAAAACATAACAAAATAGTTAGCTAACAACATGGCTTAGCCTCCTTTTTAGCCTGACATGCTAACAACTAAAAACTCATGTTAGAGCAGATAACCCAGTGTAATGCATTTCAGCTCTTTTGTGTTCCTTTCCAAATGTACATTATGGGCATTGCTCATACTACAGCTGATACAGAATTAACATGTGGAGAAGCTTAGAAATGAGTGGGAGGGGAAGTTGAGCGGACGGTCAATGTAATACTTCAGAGAAGAATGAGTAAGGTCTGCATTATTTTATACAGGACACATCCCTCACCTTGACAGGACCTCGGCAACCACAACCCCCCTTTTTATATCAAACATCCCCCTTCTTAAAGACCTTAAGGAATCCCAAAAGGCGTTTCTTCATTTATGTGGACGCACGTGTCACAGTACCCTCTAATGAATGACCTGCTGCCCACCTCTCGCACAGAGTCTGAGATCTGTCTTAAAGACAAATCAAGATGCTTATCCGGGTTCTTATACTTATAATCAGATTTTAAATCAGCCAATAAAAATACAATTTACATACTGCATGAATAGATCGACTCAACCACTGATACGTTTGAAAGAATCTGATTATCTAACCTGACAAAATGGTTTTGCTGATTCCACATTTCCTTGTAACTTGACACACTAAACTCACAGTAAGATTTTTGATTAACTGGAAGCTTTAAGTTTGGGGTTTAGCTCCAATCTCTTTTATATACACCTATGCCTAAGTGAATGTATATGTGGTCTCCTGATTTATAAAATGAGGGCTCCATTTCAACTCCTATTTAAAATGCAGTAGCAGTGCATTGTAAATTACTTGTGGTAACCGCATTGCACCACTATCATCCTTTAAATGTGGTAGCAGCACAGCCAGCACTATGAGTAGAGCTGTAATATATACTGCCCTGAATGTGAGGCAGGCCGGGACGTTTGGGGCCGGGTCAGGGCTCCAGGGCCCCGAGCCGGGCCTCGTTGGGCCTGGTTGGGCCTGGCCTTTGCCTCTTACAGTACGAACTACATGCGTTTCGCTCCACGGTTGGCCTGGAAGTTATTAAGCTCGCGATATTAAAAGCAACTTCTCTAATGAGTGCAGTAATGAAATCTGACACATTTACTAGCATACCAATCTGTAAGGCCACAAGCACCGCAAGAGGGCCAGCGAGAGACACAAATGTAGGGAGAGAAAAACACATAAACACAATAAATAAAACTGGCAGCTTTCGTCCCAAAAAACGGTTATGCCTTTTTTAATTGTGGCGTTGAAATGTATAACTTTGCTGTTGTATTGGGGCATTGTTAAAGACAAACAATGCACAAAGAGGTGGCGTGTTTAAGGTCAGACGGTGGAACGGGACCACAGGGCACAGCTTCTGCTTGTAAAAGACCCGGTGGTGGTCCTGTTGGGCCCCCTTGGCAGGCAGTGGTACAGCTGGAATAAGCTTTAATCGCCATCCGAGGTATTCTGATGAAGGCCTGCTGCCATGCATCATTGATATCACAAGTGGCGAGCAAGGGAACGATATGTAAGGTGAAAATGTTTTTACGAGTGTGCAGAAGTGGGGCCGTTACTCATACGAAGGGTAGCAGAAATGTCTCTGTTAGTCCCCTGCGCTCGGGCCTTAATATCTACGCTTAGATTCATGCAAACAAGCTTGTGTGGAGGTTTGTGGCCTGCCGGGAGGACTGTCCGCACTACTGCGATAGGGCTCATAAAAGAGCCTCTTTTACCATGCTCTGCCACCTTCAGCACCTACAACAACATTGGTCCACGGCCTTGTTCAAACAGCACCGCCGCATTCCTCCTGTGCTCCCGAAACAAATTCGAAATGAACTCCATTTCCTCATCTTAATAAATCACGCAGTCTCTCAACCCCCAGGTACTCTGACTTTTTCTCCTCAGTGAAAAACTCCCAAGCTAAGATTGATCGCTGTCTTCTCTTGGCCATGTGCTTGTTTATGAGAGACGGTAACCACAGAATGCTTCACGCCGTCCGTCCAAAGAGGGTCAGGTTTTTTTACGCAATTTTTTTGTATTCACAGTGTAAGCGCGCTGAGGAAACAGCTTTTATCACTTACAGCAGTCGCACATATCGGACCCAAACCATGTGTTACTGGGTGCAGAAGTAAAAGGAAAGCATGGGGTGTGAATTTGTCTGTGTGTAAAGGCTACCCTGTCAGAGATGATGCTTAAAGGAGCCCTGTTGTCCACACCTATTTATCAGGTTGTGGATCACTCTGAAACCTTCCTGCTTCTCACCTGATGAAATGTAGAAGCAAAGTGAAGATGGAACAAGAGGAAACGGGAGTACTTTACTCGTAGAAATATAAAGCTTGTCTTTTTCAACCTTTTTTTTTTATCTCTCCTTCTCTTTCCACCGTATCCGCATCGCTGAGTGAACTCATTGTCCGTTTGTTTTAGAGGAGCGGCCTGCTGCTAAACACATTTGCCTGGAGAAATGAATTTCCAAAAGGCTTCGATGCGATTGTAGTGCCTGCCCAGAACGTCAGGCATGCGAGGAATCTCAATCCCAGATCAAGCGCTGTCTCTAAAAGTCCACACAAAACACTGAAACGCAGAGCCGTGCACTTGTTACTCCAAAACTGATTTCTTGTCCAGTTTGTTGAAGACACTGATGCCAGTCAGTTCAAATTAAGATGATGTAGTACCCATGTAACAACCACTTAAATACTGGAGAATGGCATCAGAGACAGAAAGCAGAAAAAGAGACCGAAGGAAAACTGTAATAGAAGATAGAACATTTGGAAATGGATTTGGTGACTTCCTCGAAATCAAAACCAGTGTAAACAACGTTCTGGCATATTTTTTTGTGTTCCTTAATATCAAAATTGAATTACTTTGCTCAGTCTGATTGAGCTTTACCATATCCACATGTTGGAGGGTTTGCTATTAAATCCAACCCATTGCCTCAGATTTCCCCCTGAGGATTTGATGGAAAGTCCAGCTGACTTGCAACAATACGTGGAAAAGGCTTCCTCACTTCTACTGTGTACCTATATTGAAGGTTTAATGTTCCGCCAAACTACAATGAAAGAACGTTCCTTTAATTGTTACATAATGACCTGTAACTGTAGAATACCCGTGACTTTGTCTTGTGAAATCAATTATCTTTGCTCCAAAGGCTTTTACTGCATCTATTGTGTTTTAATTGAATCTGAAATAAATGTTGACCCGTGGTAAATTGATTCATTATTACATAACAAGCAGACTGAAATAATTTTTGAAGAGAAGAAAAAGGGAACACTAGAAGGTCTAGAAGTACTGTTAGCATGGTCTCCGTAAGAAAACTAAAATAACTATTTGTATGAAATAGATCCAAATAAAATATAAAGTTATAGAAATTAGGGATGTGGGCTTAGATACGGACAGTATACATAATAATAAATGAAAGAATATAGTGATAAACTGAAAGTAACTAATATATTCCAATATAATAAAAAGCACCGTTTGATATGCGACCCCTTTTTGTCTCACAACTCTCATAGTAATAATATAACTAGTAATATAGTCGTGGACCATTTGCAGTTGTACTCTTGTAAAATAGTCTAATGTATTTTTTAACTTTTATTTAAAGGGACAACTTACCTATTGAGCTCTGAGATGAATATTCTAAAGTCTGAAAAACAATACAGATTTACCATGTTTTGCATTTGTCTTAAAAACTAGGAGTTAGAAAAGGTTTTAGGACATAGTTGTTTGCCAGGTCGTTTCCCTCGCTAATGCGTAATGCCCCTTCTCTGGACATCTTTAAGTCAACCCTGAAAACTCATCTGTTTGAGATAGCCTTCCAACCTCAGTTACTCATCCCCCTGCACTCACAAACACAAGTTATTATCATTATTATGAATAATGGGGAGTCAGAAAAATGGCATTATCGGAAGTGTAAGACCCATAAAAGACAATACATATAAGAATATATTTCAGTTTTGCTGCTTACATTTAGATTTTCTTTTTTTGAATCAGTCTTCTTGGGTCTCTTTTTGACTCGATATCCCAGATACATCTATTGGTGATAATGTATTGTTAGTGATTCAAGTTCATTAAAACACTTTATAAAGCCTGTATTGGGATACATACTGTACTATGTTTAATTTTAGAGCATACATTATGACTGGTCAAATTATGAGAAGCACAGGTGTTCCTAATAACCCTAACGAGGTCAGTCACCAGAGAGTGGAAGACCTTCAGCATGGCAGCCTGTCTCTACACTGATTTAAGAGAGGTGCTGATGGACTCTGTGACTTCTTTAATATTCACATGTGCTTCTGTGTTTGTCCAGGACCCGCAGGAGTTGGCTTGAATGAGCTAAAGAGGAAACTGCTGATCTCAGACCCCCAGCACTTCAGTGTGACCATCCCACGTAAGTACCCTCCACTCCACATTATTAAATTAGTGTCTCCCAAGTGATGAAGTCATGTGTCTTCTCATCTTTCCTATCCATTTGTCTTCCACTTTTGTTTTACGTAATGTGTCCACCATGAAGCCTTCTAACAAAACACCATTTGGCCTTTTCCAAATGCTGCATTTATACCTGCTTATTAGAAAGACTGGTGCTTTGTGGGATATTCATTATGTTCATCCAAAAATAAAAAAATGATGTTGTATGATGTATAGGATACATATAGCATAAAAGTTACATTTAGAAATGACAGAAGAAGAAATGGACTCAGCAGCACCCAAACCAAATATTGTCACTTTATGCTTTAAAGGGGCCCTTATGGGCTGTTTTCGATCCCCGAGTTCCCTCCAGAGAGAGTTTCTCTCCCTGAAACACGTCTGTGACATCACTACGTAACATTTGTGCTTCTATTGGCTAGTGCTCTGACACATTGTACGTGGTAGGCAAAGGGGCAGGACATCTCGTGGTTGACCAATCCCAACAGAGCCGGCCAGCTAACCAATCAGAGCAGACCGTCACCCTCTGGTTTCAGACAGAGGGTGAAAAGAGGTGCTGCAGCACAGGGACTATGAGAAAAATAAAGCACTTTTTGAACATGTATACATGTCACAGTAGAGGCACAAAATACAAATATATAACCTGGAAATTAGCATAATAGTGTTAATTAATGCTCAGATTTTTATTGTATCTCTATTTGGTCTATCTTAGGACAGACCATAAGAAGCAAGTGAAGAAGCAAACATTATTTTGATATCGCACCCAGAAATACTGTACATTTTTGAAAATGTTATTCTTTGGTATTGTTGCTGTTATTTAAATAATAGGTTTTCACAAGGCCACCTGGACATTCAGGCAAAAACCTTTATCACCAAGATTTAGTTTTCTGCTTGGTAGACTTTTGGAGTGAGCTCTCACTCTAACTGATGCGATCTCAGGACAACTTACTGTAAACATCGAGATTCTCAGAATGATAGAATAAGCATGAAAGATTGATGGTGTTTTTGAGCTGCGGGTGTCTAGAGTAAGGACCCTTCTCAAACATTAAATAACTCACACTACAGCTCTATTCTCATGTGGATAAGTGGTCTCCCTTTCTCAATCCATGTGTCCCTTAGAAGCTTCTTGTACACCTGTCAAATTCCAACGACAAAGAGTTTTAGCAACAAATCATAATAAACGCTTTAGGTGAAGGACGTTTAGCTTAATAATAATAATAATAATAATAGCTTGGATTTATATAGCGCCTTTCATGGGACCCAAGGTCGCTTTACAAAGAAAAACAGGAGTAAAAACAAACAAAAACAAAAAGTCAGACAGACAAAACGACAAATCAATTAGGGGCCGAAGGCCTTGGCAAACAGATGGGACTTGAGGGCCCTTTTGAAGGCGTCAAGCTTACATGTTCCAGTCTACTCTTCACAATGTGTGACAGTGCTTGTGCTGTTAGAGCGATGGCGGTCCAGTCTGAGACACACACACACACTCGTACACATTGCATTAACACTCAGGGTACGACAGCTCCTCTCGAGGCCCAGGCGGTAGTTTTCTCCTCCCGTGTAATTGTCATCTTTTCACAGTCTGCCTGACAAGCTCCGAATGATGGAGGAAACTGAGTTTTTCTACCTCCTGAAGACATGCTATTCCACTGCTTCATGAATTGGCACCAAGCTACTCACTCTACTTTCTTTCTCAGCCTATTTATCACTTTTTTGTTGTCGTTTTCGGTCTCTTTCCTCCACTGCCTCCTCCCTGTTTCTCCTTTTAAGGACCCAACGACAGCGTGCTAAAATTCTGAGAGCAATCCAAACTAATAACTTTCCAAACCGAGCTTTTATATTTCTTTGACGTCCTCAAGCCAAAACGCTGGGACAAATACATCTATTTGAGTTCTACATTTAAGCAGGGTAATGGCACTAGTAATAGCGTAGTTACCATCTAGGGCTTGTAGGGAAACGGCGACATGACTTTGAGGAAATATCGCACCACTAATATAAATGTTCCTGTTTGTTACATGCCGTGTGGCAGAAATGATGTGTCCCTACCGAAGTCTGACACTTGAAATGTCCCTGGTATTAAAATCCCATCCGTGGGGCCGTATTTCCACAAGGCATGTTAATTGTTCTCAAATGTGACCTGTGATGCTGTGTTTAATAGAGCCCAGACAGCCTGATGCTGACGATAGAAGACGTATGGCACAAGTCCTGGCTCTCAATGAGAGGAAAGAGATTCGGAAAGTATCTCCCTCCTCTTTAGTGTTTGATTGCTGCCAATAGACACATGGATGTGTTTAACACTTGCTGTTGTTTCAGATTAAGCCTGAAAGCGTTACCCCTTTTTGGTCATTTGAAAACCGGAGCTTTGGAGACCACCGGCTTGTGGCTCTGGTTGAATTTCTTTCTCTGCTTGTCGCTGTAAAACGTAAACCAGCCGTCTCCGAAACACATTTCAATAAGCCATTAGAGTTGGGGGTTGAACATTTTGAATTAAATCCAAGTTTACTGATATTTTCCATGATTTTGAAATGAACTGATGCGCATTCTTTTGTTGCACTGTAATTATTTGCTGTGCCACAAAACAGATGCCAAAACAATGCATGGTGGATGGTGTTAGTCAAACTACCCAAGGTCCTGTTTGGCTGCATCTGACACATTTCTGAACAGGAGATATAAGTATCTACAGACAAGAATATTTTTGTATTTATTATCATGTTTTTCCTACTGTTGTCTATGGCTCATTGATCTTCTTCGGTGTCCTCCCAAACCCCAGTCGGATTTATGAGTGTCTTTCCTTCTCGAACAAGTGACACACTTTGTAAATCACACCAGTGGTTTTCCATAAACCCTGTAGATCAGTCTGGACCCTGTAAAGGAAAAGCTCTAGTCCACTAAGATGGCTTACTTAAACACACACTGACAAGAAGAACAACTCGGTCAGAGGGAGAGTAAAATTGGCAGTTTCGGTTGCAGGTGATAAAAATGTAATAGTTTGTTTTGGAGCTTGTTGGAGTTTCTGACGGGTGTACACCCTCCCCTCTGACCTTTGAAGCACTGAAAGGAGCTGTAGTGCGAGTCAACCCCGTGACCTTTACAAATCCTCCAGCGCTGCCTGTCCACGTGTCGCCTCCACTGCTCATTTTACAGCGAGGCTTTACAGTTTATGGCCAAGTAAATGTAGAGACTTGATGTTAATGAGAGCTCCCAAACTCAATTACCTTCCAGTGGCTAACGGTGGCGGCTAACGCGACTGCTTCTGTTACTGCAGCCACATTACAAGAGACACAGTTAATAAGACACAGTAAACCTCTGCAGAATGTCACTTAAGTGTCTGCGTTTAGTGCTGCAGCGCTATAGGTTGTGTATTTTATGGTGCTATTACACAATAATATATACAAGGGTTGGCATGGCGCAGCGTGCTGTGTTTCAGACTTCCAGCGATGTTAATAAGGGGCTGAGTTCAGATGCTTCCAGCCCCAACAGTGAGTCACACAGTCTGGGTTTTAAGTAATCACTCTTTTTTTTCTTCTCCTCTCTCTCAGACACCAGTCGGGCCAAGAAGAACCAGGAGAGCGACGGCGTGGAGTACCACTTCATCTCCAAACATCTCTTTGACACGGATATACACAATAACAAGTAGGCACAACTGTGACTGGTAGAGGAAAACATGAGCACTCCACCTAACTAAATGTTTAGCCACCAGATTTTAACTTGAGACAATGTAAAAAGACTTCAGATATTCCTTTTTTCAACACTTTTAAAAGGTAAAACCTTACGCCGCTATACTTTGTTAGTACTACATTTCCAATATAGACAGTGCACACATGTCTATGAAAATCAGGTCGCATAAATCCTCCTATTTATGCAATTGTTATTCCCTACTGCAAATATATCCACTTAAAGGTGGGGTATGTAATTTATTTCAGAAACACTTTTTGTTATATTCCATGGAATGCTCTTAACATCCCGATGGCAATGAATATATTAAATGCTTTGAATATATTAAATGCTTTGACAATAAATACTTTAAAAATTAATCTGTGGAAGCCGTAGCGCTGTAAAAAGCACGACCAATCATTTTAGCTGGATGGCCTACCTGCCTGTCAGCCTTCCACCTGTGCACAAACTTATCTCGTGCCCTCATTGGTCATGTGCACGTTCGTGTGTGTTGGAGGAGGGGCTCTGTAAGGAAGTGGCAGATTTTTTCCGGTTGTGTATTTTCAAATTCTAGCGCACTCGAGCTGGTTTCTCCAAAATTACCTACCCCACCTTTAAGTACTTTTTATGTTGTATTAAGACTATTCACTAACTTTGCTACTGTTATAATATCGTGTAGTATTACTACTATTCCTCTAATACAGCCCTGTTCTTCACAGGCAGGTCAGAGTGTTCCAGAAGGCTTTTTCACTTTTGTGAATTTTACTATATATCTGGACCTTTGAACAACAATGTTTGGCATGTTTTCTTTAAAATTGCCTGAGACCAAAAAAGGATCTTTGGTGACTATGTTCCTCAGCTAAAGGATTAATTGACACATCTCCGAGCCCTAATCACATTAGAAAGAATAACATGTATTAACATGTACATGGAACATGTGTACACATATAGGTTTTTTACTTTTAAGTTAAGAATATGTGCGATTTGAGACCTGTCACCCCAGTGAAAACAACAGAGTCCCTCCCTATCTGTGCTCTGGACCACTGGAGGAAGTGCAGCAGCCGGACTGGTCCTGTACTCGCTGCTCTGCGGCCTCCCTGCTGTCGTCCGTGTCTCTGTAACTCAGAGTGAGCTGGTGTTGACAGGGCCGGGCCCTGTGTCGGTAACAGATCTCCAGACAGTGGCCCCAAGCCCTCCTGTCTCTGCTTCCTCCTTTCCTCAGGCGCTCTCTGTGAACGCAGCCACACCACGGGGCCCGCCTTGACATTTGTGGCCAACAAATTGAAATGCAAGTTGTTATAGTCCTGAGAATGATGGATGCCTTTCTGCTGGTCTCACACGAGCTGGAAAGGGAGGAGAAGATGATACACTGTAGGGTGCAGATACAAAACATTTATGCACGCAAACACAATGCATATGACATGGAGGGAAGCCTGTGGTGGTGAGGGCATATAGAGTGTCAGAGCATGCACAGGGAAGAGGGGAAAGGGGGGCTGTATATTTAGGCCATGTTGCGGTGCAGGTCGAGGCATGCGATGCTTTTTAGGGAGTCGGAGGGGTGAGTGACAGAGCTGTGATGTGGGGTGGATGCGTGGGACACTCCACGTTGAAATTACAAGGCAGCAAAGTAGACAAGGAGTGAGATGAACTTGTTTGCGTTATGCCTCATCGCATGCAGCAGAAACAATGCAGAAATAAAAGGTCTCGGAATTGAAACCACAACAACGTGTTTAGCTTGAACAACTTTCCCAAGGGAAGCCCTGTTCAGTGTCGAAATGGCAACAGTACATACTATAGCCAAACCTATATTGGCATGCTTTACTGTAATCTATATACCTTATATATTTGACGACTAACAGCGCAGAATTCTGTATGGTGTGAGTTTTTAAACGCAGGCTACTGTAAGCTCTTAAATTATTTTCCCCATAACCGAACATAGGTTTGTCAGAGACTTAATCCTACTCTCTTTAAAAAAAAAGCTGAGTAAAACTTTCTTACATGGGCAATTACCATAAAACGTTCTTTTTACATCAGTCATTCTGTCCGACGCTAGTCATGAGCAGACTGCAAGCATACCACATACTCCTATTAGCTTCAAATTCTTTCCACGTAGTTACTCTCCTCGCAGCCTTTTTTCCTCCATGTTTTCAGCTAAAAATACACCGGTGGCTTTTTTCCTCATGACAGCTGATTTGTGAGAAAAGGGGAAGATTATCTGGTGGAGAAGTGTTTGTTTACTCGCACACACAGTTACTAAAACCTTTGTGGATTAAAGGAGGGTAGAGTTTGGCATTCAGGGGCTTTGTGGTCTTTCTAGAACAAACAGGTGTTACTGATTGAAAGTGTTGCGTAGGAGATTATAAAAGAACACACTCCATACAAAACGTCTGGTTTTTAAGTTCAGAATCTTCTGTCCGCGGTTGAAAGAGTAATCCTGCTGTCTCGGTGGATTTGTAGGGTTTTTATATATCATTATTCCTCAAATGAATCTCCGGAGTGTGCTGACACCAGATTAGCATGAGATTCTAATGTTACTCCCGAGGGGCATTAGTGTTGCATTACATACTAATCCGTGCCCAAAAATTGTGTTTTCCTTTCTTGACAATGTCCTCTTTTCTCCCTTTCAATGTCTTTCACCTCTCAGGTTCATCGAGTATGGCGAGTTCAAAGGGAACTACTACGGGACAGGTCTAGATTCGATACGATCCGTCCTGTCCAAGAACAAAGTGTGTCTATTGGATGTCCAGCCCCATGTAAGTGACACAAACCCTTTCGCACCATCCCACCATCCCTCATTTTCATTTATTTTCCACCTCTGCCCCTATCAAAGCAAATCCCTCCCATCCCTGGATTTTCCTTAGGCCTTGGCTCCTTTCTAGGTTACCAAAGTGGGTTATAAAGGGGGCATTCTGAGGGAGCAATTACCGCTAATTTCCTCTATTTGAAGATTTCCTCTTGGGCTTATGTGTCTTGGGTGGTGGCGATCAGACCCCACACAAATGGCACGATTCCCATTAGTCCAGGGCCGGGCCCCCGTATCGCGCTGCCTCTGCCCCACCGGCTCCTCTCTGTTTGTTTTTGCTCAGTGGATAATGGCAGGCGTAAATACACCATTATATAGATTAGCCTGGCAGCTTCTCAAACCACCTTGGCCTGAGCAGCAATGAGAGTCAGCCCCTGAGCCCTGGGCTAAAGTGTGTGGGAGAGTGAGTCTGCGGAAGCTCATGTGGGCGTATGTACATATACGTATGTGCTTTATTTTGTTTTTGGCATACATCTGTTGTGTTGTGCAAGCCCGTTCTCCATCGTGACTCACGGGTCAGATCAGTGGCAGTGTCAAAGCGTGTTATTGCCCCCATGCTGACTTGTTGAGTGGCCGATGAGAGCTGAGATAAATGCTTCACAGCGGTTCTTCTGCTGCCCCTCCTTTGGCTTTTTATCCATCTTCCTATCACTGCCTATTAGCACTGTGGGAAGCCCTGATCGTGGTTCCAGAACCAGGGGAGAGCCTGAAGCCTGACGCCACCACTAACCACCTCTGACCTCTCCTCTAGCTCTTGAGAACCAGATTGGCGGTGTTGTGTCGTGCAATTGTCCCCAGAAAAAAGAGACAAGAAGGCAGGGCAGATGTGGACAGGAATGTATCCTCTGCTATCTTCTAAAAGAACCACATGTGCTACAAAACCAGAGGCCTGCTGTTAGCCTCACCCGCCCTTACATTGAACAAGTGGTTGCCATTCCTTTTGGCTTTTAATTCTCTAAAACACAACTACCCAGTGTAATGAGATGTGACCAGAAAGGCCAAACTGTTTATTTTCTCAGATTTATTTAAAAAAGATCCTTTTTATCATCTGATTAGTATCTACCCTCTAGTTTTGGAGCCACTGCATTAAAGAAACTACTCGTCTGCCCCTACTTCAATCAGCTCATGATTATAAGGTTGATAAAGGTTTATTCACTTACTCTCCCTTTGCTTTTACACTCCATATTGTTTCCTATCTTCAGACCATAAAACACCTGCGGACGGCGGAGTTCAAACCCTTTGTGGTGTTTGTGAAGCCTCCGAGGATCGAGAGATTGAAGGAGACCAGACAAAGCGCAAAAATGATATCAGGCAAGGACGACAAAGGAACTGCCAAGTCATTCACGGTAAGAGAAGAAACAAGGAGAATGTGTAATCCTCACACTGAATTTCTCAACGTAATATCTTGTTTAGAGTCATTTAAAGTGTCGAGCGTAACAGATGGGTCAGTTTTTCCTTGATTTAGCCCATCACAGGAAATCAATGATATATACTTCTCAGTGTGTTGCCCTGCTTGTGCTCCCAAACTGGATTTAACTATTTGTTAATGTTATTTAGATGACATTTAAATGGACTTTTAATGACCCCCATGAGGAAATTGGATCAGTATAACAGAAACTACCAGGATACAGCCAATAGGATATACATTAAATTAGGATAAATGGTGATATTTAACATACAGCCAGGGAGCAAATGTACAACAGATAAAGTGTGAGAGTAATTTAAATTGTATCCTCTAAAATTTACATTTCAACAAAAAGATCAGTCCGATGAAGGGTGTATCTAGGGAACAAACAGTCCAATAACGTGATGGTGTTTTACTGAAGCAGCAGATTAGCAGCAGGAAGAAACACTATCTGGACCCTATGTGTTCAATGTGTGTGTGATGAGGTCATCCTTTACACACCTTTATCCTGCTCCGATGCAGATGAAACCAATTAACCGTTGTACGATGCGGCTGTGAAGTCGCCGGGTGGGGGGGGGGTGATGGTTTTCCCAGCTCCATCGCCTGTGGTGAGCGCGTGTCTCGCTCGCCACAGGCAGCGCTAAGGCCAAGACTTGGGTCAGCAGCACACTGCGGATGGCCCGACGGGACACCATGGGGGGAGAGTGAAGCTGAGAGGCTGTCAGAAGGGGAACGGGGGAGGGGGGGGGTGTTGTGAGCTGTTCTGCAGGTGTAGATCCAATATGGTACGCAGCTAGAGTTTAATCAATGATTTATATATTTCTTAATTGAAAATAATGTAATGTATTAAGACATGGTATTTATTTAGCGCTTTTCCATTACATTACATGTTACTTATTAGACATGTAATACATTCAATACTGTGGACAATACCCACAGGAGCTATATGGGGTGAAGTGTCTTGCCCAAGGACACAAAGGGTGTTTCTCAATGTCGAGGAAGGCTGCTCCAGAGCCACTATTTCAAGCATACTACGTCATCGAGTGCCGCCGAAGGACTGTTCCAATGTCCAGCATACTTGGAATTCTACCGAGGCCGGCGTACTTCATAGCGAGAAATTTCGAGGCTGCACATGTGTAGACGCTGCGGTCTTAAAATCCCCACAATGCTTTGCGCACGGACCAATTTCCAAATCTTTGGCGGAAATAGCGCTCCATTTAAGGCGGGGCCTCTCATATGACGCACACCTGCACACCTGTTAGCCTGTTCCACAATTCTTTGTTTTCCGAGGCTAGGAAGGATTCTTGCCTCGCTTCTGAAGCAAGTGACTCGGAAGACATGTGCTACTAAGCAAGCGTCCTCGACATTGAGAAACACCCAGAGACATGTTCACTGCAGTGGGGGTCAATCACCGAACATCAGCGCACTATTCCACTGAGCCACAGCTGCATTTATTCTTTCCTACTTTTTAATATTCATCCTCTGTTCTTATTCCATTCTTACACAAAAATATCCGCCAAACCGTGATAAATACTTACTACTCTAAGTTTACAAACTTGCTTTGGAAAATTAAGTTCAATAATCAACAACTTTAAAGATTATATACACTAAATCTTAGGGAGTGAAAAATACATCCTATCCTGAAAAGATAAAGGAAAAATATTTTCCATAACCAAAATCAATAACCATTAAAAAATAATGTCACGTTTTAAAAAAGTCAATTCTTCATTGCGGTTGGAATTTGTAATCAAAACTTAAATCCCATCCAAAAAAGTCCTGAAAAACATTTCCTTTTCCTCATGTTGCTTGAAAAGAATTACACAAACTATTCAAGACAAATAAAGCAAAATTCAAAAACATGAATTCTGATCTAGATTGCAAATAACACATGGACATAGTCCCCAATTAATTAAGTTTATTTATATAATATTAATGTATTCTAAGTTTTATTGAGATCAATGTGTAGTTATTTGGGCTTTCCCAGAGTCACCCTCCCCATAATGTGTTGCTTTCATTTGGACATTTTAGTTCACTCTCAAACCTTTAAAAACGTCTACAAAGTCAGCTGGCATTAGTCCAATAGTGAAATATCATTTTTCCTCTGTCTGCTCCTCACTTCCCAGCAGGGTTCCAGAGAACAATGAGCATGGTGATTCCTATCAATCCGTACTGTGGCTGTACTCACTGTCCGTTTATTACCTTCTGCTCTCTCAAGTAATACAAATACACGTCTGTAAAACTGTGTGACAAGCAGGCATACTTCAAGGGGGAAAGAAACTGGTTCTGTGTAAATGTTCATGTACACTGACAGGACGTAAGCCACCTCAGATTTGCTATAAAAGGCTCTGAAAGAGGAGCTGTTGTTAGGTGAGTTGTCTCAGACATATTCTGTCCTCTGCCAGCTGTATATTCTGTCAGAGAGACGGGTCTGCTTTAATGATAAAAACTGAGGAACACACGGATCATTGTTTCAGCCGAGCAGTCTGACTTTAGCCCCATTGTTTGAGCTGGAAACGATTCAAAGTGGCTTTTTTTTAAAGGAGTGTAAGCACAATGTAGAAACAACCAAAAACTGTCTGATTAAATGCTTAATTCAGGCTTAGTGCAGGCTTAGTGCAGAGAATCACACATCTGAATACTTTGCAATCATTTTAAAATGATTTATTGGGATCTGCTTGGTTTTTTCTAAAGAAGACAGGTGTGTTTCATTGGGATCAATGAAGCAAGTTTCCCGCTGGGGTCTAAGTGTGTGTGGCTCCTTTAAAAGATGACAGCAAAGGCTGACACACGCCGTTCTCCTGAGGCACATTTTCCACTCTCGACAGAATTTACAGAAAAACGAATGCTGTAAAATCAAAAATATATTAGATAAAAAAAAAACCATAAAATCCTGATTTAAAAACCTGCAGTTTACTCAGCATGGACAAACATCAGTGGTAAAAGGAGCGCTAATAACCTCATATTGTGGAGTGAAAACATGTTATTTATCTGTGCTGGATAAGTACTTTAACACACAAGACGCTACATCATCTACTGTGGAAATTAAGCAATCTAATGGCAGTGGGGATAAATGAGCTGGAGTTTGGCCCTCGAGAAGTGGCATCAGCTCAAACTACCCTCTGAGGAGAGCGATCCAGCACGGATGAGCTGACGCCAAAGAATATCTACTCCCTGCTTCTTGCCCAGCTTTCCATTCGCCTCTATTACCTTCATTATATCCATTCCTCCGCCCCTTTATTTCGACTACATCGATCTTATTATTCTCCTCCTCTGTTTCTTGATTCTCTTTCCATGTCTCTGCCCAGCTCGCTGTCCCTAAAGCGGCATCCTGCTGTGATTAATGTTATTTTTACCTGGAATGGCCTAACTAGAGACAGACGTCCCTCGTGGACATGGAAACATTAACACAAAGCAGCGCAAAGTCTCCCGAGTATATGTAGCTGCAAGGACAGGTCAGAGGGGCTGTCGTCCTGGCGATGGACACAGTGGTCATTTGTTAGTCCAACGGTGGAAGTCCTGCGGGGACTTCGGTCCAGCTGAGAGAGAAAAATAGTCCCGCTGTGGAACAATTTTTTTCACAGCTCTACAAACCTTATGAGCTTAAAACTATCATATGTTCCACCCAAAAGACAATAGAGTATGAGATGTCGTCCACAGACCGCCGTTTGAATGTCAGCGCAAGTGAGTGTTTATATTTAGCCGCGCAGCTAATCCATAATGAAGCGGAAAACCACCAGAAACCTTCTAAAGTAACTCCTGGCTGGAAGAAGCGTCTCAAAAAAGGACTTTTAAACTTTAACTAGACCGTGTTTATGTGCGTACACACATTGTATGCACACTCAGCCTGTTTGTGGGTGTGTGGGCACATGTACAGTTTGTGTGTGTATTTAGGTTCCTGTGCATGAATGTGCATCTGTGTGTATTTATATGTGTGTGTTTGGCACAGGGATTCACTATAAAACCATATCTGTGCAGAAATCTAAAGTTGAGTTTTCCCAGTAAAAACATGAGGCTAAATCGGGGCGGCCACTTTAGCCAGGGCCCACACAGCTGAGACCAGAAAGCCTCAGAGGGCCATCGTGGAGAGATACCTGCATGAATACAGGAGCCCCAGATAGGCAATGTTTACTCCCACCCTGATAAAAATATGTTATTTGGCAATCCCTCGCAGTTATATGGTTTTATTATTTACACTGCGTAGCTGATTTGCATATTGACCTGAAAAACTCTGCAACCCTAATGTAGGATCTCTGGTTAAAACTGTCAGCATTCAATAAGTCATGCAGCTCCTATTTAATATGCAGCTAAGCTAAGCTAACCCTAACCCAGTATGTGTCATCCCTCAGTTACTATCTCTGCAGCCTTTCTTATCCAATATTCAGATACTACTTTACAGTGAAAGGAACAACCATTTATATCGTTTTTCCTTATAAAGTTAAATGAAAGTTTCAAGACATGCTAGTGGTATAGTAATACTGTAGCTATCGGTCCGGTTTTAGTCCCAGTTTATCTGTCATTATTATTTATAGACGTAGCCCGCTGTGTAGCAGCTTCACATGGTCCTAACAATGCAACTGCATCACCGCAAGCTGTCATTTCCCCTTTGCGCATATAAAATCCAGACCTGCAATAATGTATGTTTTTAAATGTTTGCCTTTTGAAAACGATGGTTATGCTTATTTTGAGTATATTTTCTTTTCTTTGTGAATTGGATAAATGTTTAAGGAAATGATGAAAATTCCTTGAGGTCACGTCGTTGCACAGGGAGGTTTTAGTACGTGGTCGGTGCCAGGGTTCATGTGTGGATACCATGTCTCTGAGAGGTTATAACGGGTTCTGTACGGTCCACTTTGTGCTTATTTGCGTGTTCAAGGCCGTGTAATTTGTGTTTACAGTATGTGGATATGTCTCCCCTCTTGTTTACTGTGGCCAGTGCTTTCTCTTCGCAGCAGATGAACTGTTTTGTCTTTAATTGTGCATCTCATCTCATTTTAGGTAAGCTTCCACTGTATATATGTGCCAGATTTGCTCCAGTTTGTGACTCTTACAACCTCAGAACCAGTGCCTGGATACGGTTCCAGTTACCTGCTGTGCGGGCTGAGGCTGGAAAAAGGAGTCTTTTTTATTATGGTCCTTGGTCTTGGAATGACCTTCAATCAAGCCTCAAACTGATGGCACTTGTCCCTATAGCCTGTTTTAAATTGAAGTTGTCTGAGGTCCTTACCACCAGCTGCTCTTGCAGTAATAAGTAGTGTACCTTTCTTACTGTCCCAAATGTGCACAATGTAGTGACTGCTTTTCGTCTTTTGTTTACTTAGTTGTGTTCTCTGTATTTTACATGTCTGTGTTATGTGTAATAATGTGTAACGTTGCTGCCTTCTTGGCCAGGTCAGCATTGTAAATGAGATTTTATCTCAATGCTTTTATCTGGTTAAATAAATCTCTGCTTTTATCACCTCCTCAAAATCTTCATCTCTCTGTACTCACATGCAGGACGAGGACTTCCAGGAAATGCTGAACACTGCGCAGACGCTGGAGACTCAACATGGCCACCTGTTTGAGAAGGTCATAGTCAACGATGACCTCTCGGCGGCCTTTAGCGAGCTGCGGTTGGCGCTAAAGAAAGTGGAGACCGAGACTCACTGGGTTCCGGTTAGCTGGACTCACTCCTGAGATCCACACAAAAAGAAAAGGGAAGGGCTTTGACAATAATATGCAGGTTTTTTATATCTTTCTATGTCTGCTGCAGCTGGTGTTGGGGAAATAACGGGAATAAAACAAGGCCAGACGGCTTCGTCGCCATACCTGAGCATCACAGAGCTAAAAATAATCTTTTAGCCTGAGATCAGGTTGGGTTTAGACCTCAGCTGTGTTCTGGATACGGATCTCCAGGTCTGACCAGATCTGACAGAGCTGAGGGTAAGGGCGTACGTCCAGAATATGGGTTCTCGACAATGATCTGGGTCTCAGTCTGTGCCACAAGAGTTGGAGCTCCATGTGGAACGAGCTTGGACCGCCAGCACATCAGAAACAGCCTCAACCAGGTCTCCATTTTTAGAGTGTTTATAACATTAGACCATTAGAAACCAAAGGGATTGACTTCTTTCTTCTTGGTGGACAACTGACATGCATTATGTCTGTCAAAGAACACAATCGCTTGGGGGAAAAGAGGGAGAAAAAGGAAAACACCTTCTGTCTTATATTTCTGTGCTTCTATAATGCTTCCTTGACTGTTACTCCAAACAAAATATTATCAGGTACACTCGAGAAAGGGCAGTAAAGTATAATTTTATTTAAGAGATTTTAATATATTTTCTAATACCCTCCGGGTGTTTTTTGCCTACATTTTATATACATATCTTTTAAAGTAACCTGATCTTAAAAATAGCAACATCTCTGACAGCTTATTACACCAGAGGCGTATCATCTTTCAGTAAACTGTTTGATTTCATAACCCTGGTCTGTACTTTCTCCCTACAAAGCACACAAAGAGCCATTTTATTTAGGTGTTATTCCATTTAGAAACGTTTTGCAAATCCACCCTTCATATGAAGGTGCCCAGCATAACAGCTTTGCCATTTAATGTCCCAGAACTGGACATTTTTGGCTGTCTGCTAGAAGAAAATGGTCACAATTGTGTTTTATTAGGGTGGAGTCTGTATTTTTATTCACATAAAAAGGGCTTCAGCAAGGCTGCTAATAGAAGGTCCAAAGCACACTTCCAGGGTTTTAATTAAATGCTAAGTAAGCCTAGCTGCTACTGACTTTATGAGCATTAGAAGTTTATTGCTGATTCTAGTCTCCTATTTCCAGCCTAACTTATTCATTTTTTACTCATAGCTTCTCTTTTTTAACTTCATTTTCAAAGAAGCTAGACATTAATCCTGGCTTTACTTTAATCATTAACAATGTTAGAGCCCTGCTAGCAACATTTTACACTCTAAAGGATTTATTTGCTAACTAATTTACTTTCTTGCAGATAAAGATTGATACCACTTCATGTCTACATATTATATATGGACCTAGAGTCAAGAGACAATTAGCCTAGCTTAGCTTAGCTTAGTTTAGCGTTGAACTGGAAATGGAGAAAAACAGTTAGCCTTGCTCTTTCTTGTGTTCAAAAATATGTAGCACCTTTCAGGTTGCGGTTAAATATACTTGTTTCTGTTTGTGAAGAACATGTTCATTTAGAATTTTTAAAGGTGCTCATTCACGTTTTCTTTTTACTTCAGAGTATAAGTTTCACAATGCTTTGTCGATGCTAAGCTAAGCTAATTATCTTTTGGCTCTGGCTCCATACTTAACATACAGACATGAGAGTAGTATAGAATCTTCTTGGCAAGAAAGCCAATATGTGTATTTCTCACAACATAAAACTATTCCTAGTAGTTATGTTTTTTTAAAGAGTCCAGCTCAGGTTGCATCGCCCAAATGTATTTGGTCTTCTATTCTTCCTTTAACTCCTACTCAAATATTTATAAATAAATGTGTCCATTTTTTAAAAGGGTAATAGGAGTGTTAATGTTCAGTAATGATATTTTAACACCCCTCATTTTGCCTCTCGTGTTTTATTGATTTTTAGCATCACATTAAGTTCCCTTTCAATGTATAATTGTACTTGCTCACCCATGCATATCTTAGCCCTCTGGCATCTTCTTTATAGATCAGAATCAGATATGTACAGTCTCCAGAAAATATTTGTAATTTGTTGCTGTAAATGAAATGCTGTTGTATGAATTTGCATTATTCTTGATAACTGCTACATTTTATATTAAAGAAAATCCAACTAAACTTGTATTTCTAAGGTGTCAACTGAATTGCTGTCTTCAACTGGGCAAATATTGAGAGCAGTGATGTGTGAAGTGGAAAAATGTTCCAGTGTTCCTGGGATTTGTGCCATTGGGTGCCATTCACATCTCTCTTTGTTCGGTTTTGGGAATAATATTCCAGCCACATCTTTCACAGAAGAGTGCACAGTTGTGCAAACAGAGCTGACACCTTTCATCCCGTAACTAACAGCGCTAGAGAGAAGTTAATGTCAATCACCGTCTGTGGCCATTTCTGAAATCATCTGAGTACTTTTCCTTAAACTGCAATTTAATTTGATAAATTAGTTATAAATTGTTATTTGGCTTGACGTTAGATTCAATAGAAATGTATTGGAAATCAGGAGAAGAAAATGTGCTTATTTCCAGTCGTTCACAATTAAACCACAAAAAGAATGTGCAACTAGATTAGTTGAATGAAATAGCGTGAGTCAAACCTCCAATGAAGCAGACAAACTAATATAAATGTGTTTGTTTCATGTATTAAATTAAGACACATTAGCCTCATGTTGCTACTTACAGATCTGATGTTTTCGTTTGCTGCTGTCTTTTGTTTCTTTAGCGGTGCAGAAACCTCAGCAGACGTTTAAGTCGCATGCTTCATGTACATCATGAATAATTTGATGAGTCTGTTTCTCTTCATTTTGCTTTTTCCATACACCATCATTTCCATCTCAGCCAAGCCATATTTTGAATTTCCGGCCTTTCTACTTGGTTGCGCAAATTGAAAATGCACGCAAAAAACAGACTTTTAGTTGTAACATCCAGATGGAGTCTAAGCACCTAAAAGAGACGTTGAAGATTTGGATAAAGCTTTAAGGAAAGGGCCTGAATCCAGTTACTGCTGAAACCACTAAAGCAATGCAGCCCAATTAAACCCCAGTGCCCTGCTACAGCTGTGTGCCAAATTACTAATTCAGATGTCACTGTACCTTTGAAAACAGTGGCTCTGTGAAAGGGTGGGGAGTCGGTGGGGGTGGTAAAAGGGGGCTCTGGAGGAGTCCAGCTTCTATCCAGTGACCCACTCGAGGATTCAATGGGCCTCCGCTTGATGAATTTCCAAAATAAATCCCCCACTAGTCCAAATCAGGTCGCCTAACCTTCACATTTCCTCTTTTCCACAGTGTTCACTTTGATGGCTGAGTGGAGCAGGAGAGAAGGGGGGGGGGTGTTTACAGCCAAGGTGGATAAAGACACAGTGAGATGGAGGCAGGGAAGGTCAGGAGGAGGTAACTGCTCTCAGTTGGGGTTAACGTAAGAACTGGTTATTCCATGTCTTGCTCTCTCTTTATGTCTTGCCTCAGTCAGTCTTTCTTCTTAATTAGGATAACAGAGTGACGGAGGGAGACTGCCAGCTGTATGTACAGGAACATAGACTCTCCCATCATGCCCTCTGATCTAAGGCAAGTAAAGTGAGTAGGTGAGTGAGAAAGCTTTTCCCCTTCAAGCTCAATGATGCGTTTTCAACACAAGACAAACGCCACCCTACATTGTTCTAAGTGGAATACTTGGCATAGACATTCTGGAGGTTCTAAGTGAGTGTAAATGGACATTTTCTCTCACGTCGTAATACCAAAGAAGGACCCGTGTTCTGGGCTTTTTAACCCAAAAATATCATGAGTAAAATGTTCTCTGTCAGACTTGGAGGAGCCAATGTAGCTCCTTCTCCAGTATTTTAGTTGTGACTATTATTCACTCCTCGCTTCAACCCATTAAATTCAAGTTTGTCTTTATTCACCTACTATCTCATCTGCTGTAGGTTTTTCCATGCATTTATTTGACTGAAGGTGTCAAGGGTGTCGAGCTATGTTTTGATAGCCCTCCGATTGCCTTAGAAGGGAGTGACGCGACTTGGACTCCCAAGTCTTGTTTCAGTAACAAACGATGAGCGCCTGATTCAGCGTCCTTAGAGGTACTGACGGACATTCTGCTTGCTCACTTGTTTCGTTGACATGTCATCATCCCGCGCCTTAAGTAGCCCGCAAGTGATTGGAGCCCGGATGCTGTGCTTTATTCTCTTTAAATTAGGACGACAGAAACACATGTTCGCAGATTAGGTATCCCTGGACAAGGATAACGAGAGGAATCAGCCCCATATGCCAAGGTACTTTAGCTGAGTTATGATGTAATAATGAAAAATACTATGTGCGTACAGTTGGGTCTGCGTATATGATGTATAAAACGGACCAGTAAATGGCATTGCCCTACAGTAAGTAGTAGCAAAAAAAAGGAGACGCTCTCGTAAATCTTTACTAAAGTTGTATAAACGTCTGCCTGCAGCCCATGACTGATTTAAGATAACAAATCCCTCGCCCTCTATTCATCTTTCTCCGTCATCTCTTGAAGAGTGAGCTGCCATGTGAGTGAAGGCCAAGCAATGGCTTCCCCAGCTTAGACATGGCGCTCACAGAATCAAACTGCTCTTAGTCTATCAGACGACTATAATAGTTTAACAGTTACATCTAAGGATTTATTGTAACAGAAGTCCAGCTTTAATCTCAGATTCCAGAGTTTAATATTGCAGTTATGGTTTGTGAATCGCTCTAGTTCTTTCCCTTTAGCTGTATATATTTTCATGCCCATAAATCCATGCATTAAGGGATTCCATTGTTCAGAAGATATGGTACCAAGCTAGACAGACAAGGGGGAATAAGATGTGGAAAAGTCAAAATGCCGTTCTGTCCTGTCATAGGGGTTCCTATTAACGCATTTTGGAAACCGTTGAAGTGAAACGTCTAAGTCTCGCGTTACGATATACACTGCAATCATTTAGATTTACTACGTTCAAATTACAGAGTCAGGACGAATATCCTGAACGGGGCTCAATGTGATAAGTCAGACAGATTGTATTGAGCATCAGAAGAGGGTAGTCGGGGTGAAAAGGGGAGGGGTAGCCAGGCTCCTGCTGAGAATCCTCATATTTTTCATAAGTTCTTGTCCTGAATGGGCCTTTCTTTCTCCTGCTTCTTTTTCTCTGCTATCCGGCTTTTTCCCAATCCTTTCATGTGGTGACTCAGTCCATCACCATGGCTCTACCGTAGGAGCCAGCCAGCGATGCTGCTCTGTTTTCCTCATCCCGGGTAAATGTCCTTGACCATTGGGAGACTGTTCTGTAGACTAATGGGGCTTCAGGCCAGGAGCTTCCGCCCACCCTGTCTCCTCAGCCTAATTAGCCCCACCATTACCTCATGTCTGTAGGCAAAGGTCTTCAGGACACGTTACCTTGAGCTGTATTCCTCAATTACAGGACTTAAGAAACCTGGAGGGTGGGGAGCGAGGAGTCAGTGGATGCCCTTCATTCCTCCGTGGCCTGAGAACGCCTTTCACCCTTATCAGAATTCTGGATAACAACACGCTCAGTCTAATAGCCGCAGAGCAGTTGGTCATTAATACTGGGTGCCGTATGTATACACTGCTTGATTTGGTTGCACAGGTTAACTCGTCTCTGTGTACTTTTGAAAATGAGTCCAAGGGGTAAAAGTTCATCCGAAGGGTCCGCTGCTCTAAAACATTCCTCTGACACATGTGGAGCTAAAGCAGGGTACTGTGGCCGAGGTTGCACAAAGGCATTGACTATGTTAGAGGAGTTTAGAGCTGTCCACCTGTATTTTCTTAAACTTTCCCTCCCGAGTGTTGTTGGCCTCTACCGACGCAGTTTTAATTACACGGACGCGGAACTGTCATCTTTAAAGTTGGAACCCTCTGGAGGTCAAGATCTTTCTTGGTGTGCTGCAAATTAGTCTCAACACAGCCCCTAGATGAGGTGAGTGAGAAAATATCACCTGCTTTCCAAATGCGTCTCTTTTCATTGCATGAATTGTTCTTTGAAAAGTCTGTATTATATGTTTCCAGCAGCGCTGTCATTTGAACAACCTCATGCAACTTTGTAAAACCCAATACATGCAAATGTAAGTAGCAAAACAGTGTTTCTCCATCGTCCAAGCATACACCACTCAAATGGAATGTAGCAGAGCGTCCAGCTGGGGTATGAGAGCCCAGCAGCAGTAGCCATGCTGACCCAGTGTAATGACGGTAAGTGGATTACAAGGAGGCCCTGGTCAATGGTCATTAATATTGAATCTGCTAAAGTTACCTCCATGTGGCAGCAGCTACACCACAGGGACGGAGCCAAGGACCTCCAAGATACCTGAGAAGCTCATTGCTTTTGTGTGCAGGGCCTCAGATGAGCTGACAGCCGTCTGAAACAGAAATGGACTGCAGAAGGATCGAGAGAGGTCAGTAGGACAAGTTCTTTTTTTGGATTAAGAGTCGATTATTGAGTTTCATAGGGTTAGGGTTATCTGTGCTGGCCTCACCACTGTCAGATTTATATTTCCATTAGACATATGACATTTCTGTGTCAGAGGTGAATGGAATTTTGTTAAAAACTGCATCTATTTTAGTGAACTTAATTTTGTTTTGCCAACATTTAAAAATACTTAATTGTATGGCAAAATCAAGTTATTTCACTAGAATCGTTGCAATCAGTGGTTTGCTTGCCAGCCAGGTCTACATAACCCAAGCTATTATTGACGGCCAAGTCAAACTTTCGTGAACTGAAGTAAAGCATGTCTTTATGAAAGTTATGAGGCATTTATACATACCCTACCGTTAGCAACAGGCTTGCTCACAGATAGTGCTAGATAGCTCACAGATTTAGTATGACCATGCTTGTGACTGGCTAACCCTAGCAAGTTCATAGCTGACTAGCATGATAGCAATAAGTTCATAAGCTACAAACTAACCAGCCATAACAGTGGCTATGTCAACAAGCTTTCAGCATTGTCTATATTACAATATTACAAAAGAACTTGTCCTACTGACCTCTCTCGATCCTTCTGCAGTCCATGACTTTTTACTTCACTTTATGGTGTAAATGGGCATTTACTCGCAATAATAGACACGCCGCAGCATAAACAGTTCTACAGGGACAGATTTCTCAAAATCTGGACAAATAAAACCGTA